AAAGAGTGTTCTTCCTATGATTTCCTCTAAGAGTTTTATAGTGTCCAGTCTTACATTTAGGTCTCGAATCCATTTTGAGTTTACTTTTGTATATGGTGTTAGGGAGTGTTGTAATTTCATTCTTTTACATGTAGCTGTCCAGTTTTCTCAGCACCACTTATTGAAGAGACTGTCTTTTCTCCATTGTAAATTCTTGCCTCCTTTGTCATAGATTAGTTGACCATAGGTGCCTGGGTTTATCTCTGGCCTTTCTATCTTGTTCCATTGATCTGTATTTCTGTTTTTGTGCCAGTACTGTATTGTCTTGATTACTGTAGTATTGTAGTACAACCTGAAGTCAGGGAGTCTGATTCCTCCAGCTCTGTTTTTTTCCCTCAAGACTGCTTTGGCTATTCGGGGCATTTTGTGTCTCCATACAAATTTTAAGATCTTTTCTTCTAGTTCCGTAAAAAATGCCATTGGTAATTTGATAGGAATTGCATTGAATCTGTAGGTTGCTTTGGATACTATAGTCATCTTCACAATATTGATTCTTCCAATCCAAGAACATGGTATATCTCTCCATCTGTTGGTATCATCTTTAATTTCTTTCATCAGTGTCTTATAGTTTTCTGCATACAGATCTTTTGTCTCCCTCAGTAGGTTTATTCTTAGGTATTTTCTTCTTTTTGTTGCAATGGTAAAAGAGAGTGTTTCCTTAATTTCTCTTTCAGATTTTTCATAATTAGTGTATAGGAATGCAAGAGATTTCTGTGCATTAATTTTGTATCCTGCTACTTTACCAAATTCATTGATTAGTTTTAGTAGTTTTCTGGTGGCATCTTTAGGATTCTCTATGTATAGTATCATGTCATCTGCAAACAGTGACAGTTTTACTTCTTTTTTTCCAATTTGTATTTCTTTTTCTTTTCTGATTGCCATGGCTAGGACTTCCAAAGCTATGTTGAATAATAGTGGTGAGAGTGAACATCCTTGTCTTGTTCCTGATCTTAGAGGAAATACTTTCAGTTTTTCACCATTAAGAATGGTGTTTGCTGTGGTTTTGTCGTGTGTGGCCTTTATTATGTTGAGGTAGGTTCCCTCTATGGCCACTTTCTGGAGGGTTTTTGTCATAAATGGGTGTTGAATTTTGTCAAAAGCTTTTTCTGCATCTATTGAGATGATCGTATGGTTTTTATTCTTCAGTTTGTTAATATGGTGTATCATATTGATTGATTTGCATATATTGAAGAATCCTTGCATCCCTGGGATAAATCCCACCTGATCATGGTGTATGATCCTTTTAATGTGTTGCTGGATTCTGTTTGCTAGTATTTTGTTGAGGATTTTTGCATCTATATTCATCAGTGATATTGGTCTGTAATTTTCTCTCTTTGTAGTATCTTTATCTGGTTTTGGTATCAGGGTGATGGTGGCCTCATAGAATGATTTTGGGAGTGTTCCTTCCTCTGTAATTTTTTGGAAGAGTTTGAGAAGAATGAGTGTTAGCTCTTCTCTAAATGTTTGATAGAATTCACCTGGGAAGCCATCTGGTCCTGGACTTTTGTTTGTTGGAAGATTTTTCATCACAGTTTCAATTTCATTCCTTGTGATTGGTCTGTTCATATTTTGTATTTCTTCCTGGTTCAATCTTGGAAGGTTATATCTTTCTAAGGAGTTGTCCATTTCTTCCAGGTTGTCCATTTTATTGGCATAGAGTTGCTTGCAGTAGTCTCTTAGGATGCTTTGTATTTCTGCAGTGTCTGTTGTAACTTCTCCTTTTTCATTTCTAATTTTATTGATTTGAGTCCTCTCCCTCTTTTTCTTGATGAGTCTAGCTAATGGTTTATCAATTTTTTTCATCTTCTCAAAGAACCAGCTTTTAGTTTTATTGATCTTTGCTATTGTTTTCTTTGTTTCTATTTCATTTATTTCTGCTCTGATCTTTATGATTTCTTTCCTTCTGCTAACTTTGGGTTTTGTTTGTTTTTCTTTTGCTAGTTCCTTTAGGTGTAAGGTTAGATTGTTTATTTGAGATTTTTCTTGTTTCTTGAGGTAGGCTTGTATAGCTATAAACTTCCCTCTTAGAACTGCTTTTGCCACATCCCATAGGTTTTTGGATTGTCATGTTTTCATTGTCATTTGTCTCTAGGTATTTTTTGATTTCCTCTTTGATTTCTTGAGTGATCTCTTGGTTATTTAGTAACATTGTTTAGCCTCCATGTGTCTGTGTTTTTTACGTTTTTTTCCCTGTAGTTCATTTCTAATCTCATAGTGTTGTGGTCAGAAAAGATGCTTGATATGATTTCAGTTTTCTTACATTTACTGAGGCTTGATTTGTGACCCAAGATGTTATCTATCCTGGAGCGTGTTCCATGTGCACTTGAGAAGAAAGTGTAATCTGCTGTTTTGGGGTGGAATGTCCTCTAAATATCAATTAAATATTTCTGGTCTATTGTGTCATTTCAAGCTTGTGTATCCTTATTAATTTTCTGTTTGGATGATTTGTCCATTGGTGTAAGTGAGTTGTTAAAGTCCCCCACTATTATTGTGTTACTGTCGATTTCTTCTTTTGTAGCTGTTAGCATCTGCCTTATGTATTGAGGTGCTCCTATGTTGGGTGCATAGATATTTACAACTGTTATATCTTCTTCTTGTATTGGTCCCTTGATCATTATGTAGTGTCCTCCCTTGTCTCTTGTAACATTCTTTATTTTAAAGTCATTTTATCTGATATGATTATTGCTACTCCAGCTTTCTTTTGATTTCCATTTGCTTGGAATATCTTTTTCCATCCCCGCACTTTCAGTCTGTATGTGTCCCTAGGTCTGAAGTGGGTCTCTTGTAGACAACATATATATGGGTCTTGTTTTTGTATCCATTCAGCAAGCCTGTGTCTTTTGGTTGGGGCATTTAATCCATTCATGTTTAAGGTAATTATTGATATGTATATTCCTATTACCATTTTCTTAATTGTTTTGGGTTTGTTTTTGTAGGTCCTTTTCTTATCTTGTGTTTCCCACTTAGAGAAGTTCCTTTCACATTTGTTGTACAGCTAGTTTGGTGGTGCTGAATTCTCTTAGCTTTTGCTTGTGTGTAAAGCTTCTGATTTCTCCATCAAATCTGAATGAGATCCTTGCTGGGTAGAGTAATCTTGGTTTTAGGTTCTTCCCTTTCATCACTTTTAGTATATCATGCCACTCCCTTATGGCTTGTAGAGTTTCTGCTGAGAAATCAGCTGTTAACCTTATGGGAGTTCCCTTGTATGTTATTTGTCGTTTTTCCCTTGCTGCTTTCAATAATTTTTCTTTGTCTTTAGTTTTTGCCAATTTGATTACTATGTGTCCCAGCCTGTTTCTCCTTGGGTTTATCCTGTATGGGACTCTCTGTGCTTCCTGGACTTGGGTGGCTATTTCCTTTCCCATGTTAGGGAAGTTTTCAACTATAATCTCTTCAAATATTTTCTCTGGTCCTTTCTCTCTCTCTCTTCTCCTTCTGGGACCCCTATAATGGGAATCTTGATGCGTTTAATGTTGTCCCAGATGTCTCTTAGGCTGTCTTCATTTCTTTCCATTCTTTTTCCTTTATTCTGTTCTGCAGCAGTGAATTCCACCATTCTGTCTTCCAGGTCACTTATCCATTCTTCTGCCTCAGTTATTCTGCTATTGATTCCTTCTAGTGTATTTTTCATTTCAGTTGTTGTATTGTTCATCTCTGTTTGTTTGTTCTTTAATTGTTCTAGGTCTTTGTTGAACATTTCTTGTATCTTGTTGATCTTTGCCTCCATTCTTTTTCCAAGGTCCTGGATCATCTTCACTATCATTATTCTGAATTCTTTTTCTGGAAGGTTGCCTATCTCCATTTCATTTAGTTGTCTTTCTGGGGTTTTATCTTGTTCCTTCACCTGGTACATAGCCCTCTGCCTTTTCATCTTGTCTTTCTGTGAATGTGGTTTTTGTTCCGTAGGCTGCAGGATTGTAGTTCTTCTTGCTTCTGCTGGCTGCCCTCTGGTGGATGAGGCTGTCTAAGAGGCTTGTGCGAGTTTCCTGATGGGAAGGACTGGTGGTGGGTAGAGCTGGCTGTTGCTCTGGTGGGCAGAGCTCAGTAAAACTTTAATCTGCTTGTCTGCTGATGAGTGGGGCTGAGTCCCTTCCCTGTTGGTTGTTTTGCCTGAGGTGACCCAACACTGGAGCCTACCCGGGCTGTTTGGTAGGGCTAATGGCGGACTCTGGGAAGTCTCACGCCAAGGAGTACTTCCCAGAACTTCTGCTGCCAGTGTCCTTGTGCCCACGGTGAGCCACAGCCACCCCCCACCTCTGCAGCAGACCCTCCAACACTAGCAGGTAGGTCTGGTTCAGTCTCCTGTGGGGTCACTGCTCCTTCCCCTGGGTCCTGATGTGCACACTATTTTGTGTGTGCCCTCCAAGAGTGGAGTCTCTGCTTCCCCCAGTCCTGTCAAAGTCCTGCAATCAAATCCTGCTAGCCTTCAAAATCTGATTCTCTAGGAATTCCTCTTCCCGTTGCTGGACCCCCAGGTTCAGAAGCCTGACGTGAGGCTCAGAAGCTTTGCTCCAGTGGATGGACTTCTGTGGTATAAGTGTTCTCCAGTTTGTGTGTCACCCACCCAGCAGTTATAGGATTTGATTTTACTGTGATTGCACCCCTCCTACCATCTCATTGTGGCTTCTCCTTTGTCTTTGGATGTCGGGTATCTTTTTTGGTGAGTTCAAGTGTCTTCCTGTCAATGATTGTTCAGCAGTTAGTTGTGATTCCAGTGTTCTCGCAAAACGGAGTGAGAGCACGTCCTTCTACTCCACCATCTTGAACCAATCCTGGACTTTTTTTCTAATGTTTCCAGGGCTAAGTGAGTTTTGAACAATTATGAAGCCAGTGTTGAGAATGCAAAATATAATAGTTAGCTGAAGTCTTCATTACTCTTTTAGGTACAACAAATAGGCAGAACTCTCCCCTTTGTAACTTTACCCACCTGATTCTCCTGAAGTTGAAACTATCTCTAATAGTTGAGGAACTAGCCAGCCCATAAAGAGAATCTTAGAGAGCCACAGGACTGGTGAGAGACCTTACAGAGGGGATGGGGAAAAGAAATCAAAGGAGGTTCTAATTTAAGCCTGTCATTCATCACCAAAAACCATTCACTAAGTGCCTCCTCTTATGAGGGCTTAATTCATTTTTTGTGTGTATGAGGAAGTAAATTACTTTTTCTGTGTCTTCAGAGGGGCAGTAATGGTATTTATCAGTCACTTAAAGAATTAACCCTCCACAATCTTGGTTGGTTTGCACCCACGAAGATAAGCAGGTGCTCAGAGCTCAAAAGGAACCTAGATGAGTCTAAGTGAGAGAGTTAGGCTTGGTGCCCAGAAGAGTGTCCTCTGTCCTGCTTCTCTTGTCATCCTCTTGGGGTATTTGTGTGTTGATGGGCAAATAATATAGTCAGAAGTTCTAGAAATTATTGGTCAGATTTTTAAAATCTGTTTTCAAGTTTTCTTGGTTTAAACCTCTTTGTTGACAAATGTTCTTGTGACCCCTTCACTTTGAATGTTAATGTTCTAGTCAGACAATGAATTTCTCTTGCCAGGTTGGTAAGATTGGTTCCTAGTCTAGGGAGTCTTATTTTTTGTTGGAATTGAAAAACACAATGACTAGGGGATTAAATGAAGTAGCTTTTAAGAAGACTACAATAGACACACTACTTTTTGGGCTGTCAAGAATCAATATTGAGCTTCTAGATTTCCTAGCAATTAATGTTTTGTCAAGCAGTTTTTAGGTATCATAGAACTCAGAAAAGAAAATCATACTTGGGATTTTTTTTTTTTTTTTTTTTTTTTTTTCTATGTGGCTTTAACCAAAATTCTGAGGCAACTGTAAAAGTCCCAGTGAATATCTTGCTGAATTTGTATTGTGTTTTCTTACTTTATACTTCATGCCTCTGTCATGAAAATCATCAAAATAATTCAGATTTTTATCATTTCCCACTTAGAGCATAGTCTTGAAAGGTAAGTTACTGAGAAAGTATTTTTAGGCCCTAAATACACATTTCCAAATTAATCTCCAGAAAAATGAATATTTATTTGGCTTTTGGATTGGGAAGGACATCTGTAGCATTAAAAATATAGAGGAAATGACAATGGGAAAGAAAGTAATGGTTTACATTTTTTCCTAGATCAAGAATTCATGAACAAAATTAAGAGGCAAGCCACAAACTAAATTTTGGCGGTACGCGGGCCTCTCACTGTTGTGGCCTCTCCCGTTGCGGAGCACAGGCGCCGGACACGCAGGCTCAGAGGCCATGGCTCACGGGCGCAGCCGCTCCGCGGCATGTGGGATCTTCCCGGACCGGGGCACGAACCCGTGTCCCCTGCATCGGCAGGCGGACTTTCAACCACTGCACCACCAGGGAAGCCCGGGATTTTTTTTAAAAATCAAAAGAGAATCAGTAGAATTTATTAGAAAACATTGATTCAATTCTGAGAGTCCCAGAAGTTGTCAGCCAGAGCATTTGAGAAAGCCATTTTGAAGAAAGCAAGCTATGTTATCACTACAAACTATTTTTAAATAGCAACCAAAAATCAATCTCATAGCTCAAGATTCTTAGCATTAGTTTTGTGAATAATTGCATGTGGTATAATGTTATCATGCTTAGAGTATTCAGTTATGTGAAAAAGGAAAAGAAAAAAACATATTTGCCATTAGTTTAGTCCCTTAATGACTCTAAGCTGACTAACATAGTTCCGTTTATTTCCCTGGATAGGGGATTTGCAGAGTGCTTGGGGAATATGGATTAAAAATGCCTGGTTGTGTTCACAGTTTCACAAGTCATTCCCAACGGTGATTTTAAGCTTCTGAAGACATGTTCTAGTATTCAGTTTTCTGATATTGTTGCTCTAAAAAATACAGATGGCTCATGTCATTATTTTTACAAGGAACTTTTGTTTTAACTTGTGCTTAATTATTTTCAACATTTTTTTTTTCTAAGGCAAATAAAAAATTGAAATTGGAAAATGGTGGCCTGGTGAGGGAGAATTTACGACTGAAAGCTGAAGTTGATAACAGATCACCCCAGAAGTATGTATTTTGCTAACAGAGCAATGTTTCAGGTTATGTCAATGTTTTAGAATAAGCTGCTGTTACAGTTTGTGTTTGTCATTTGACTCTTCTCATTGAAGCATGTAAGTTTAAATAGAATGTCTTACCTCTAAACATCAAGTGTATACTTATGTTACTGGTAAAATCTTAGTCGTAGTTAAGACTAATGTTGAAGAAAAGATTTCCCTCTGATCCTTTTTCTGTATCTGATTAGCAAGAGGATTGTTTTATGTTACCTAAGATAGGTGAGCCTTCACTTGGTTTTACATGTAACTGTTTAGTGGTCCTAACAAAGAGTAGGGAGAGTAACATAATGCCCTTTAGACTTTTTCTGAAATAATCAAAGTTAAAATTCATATAGTGCTTTCTCTTTGCCAGGTATAACAACCTGTGATGTAGAACTATTATTATTCTCCATTTACAGTTGATGAAATGGAGGCATAGAGATCAAATTAATTTTTCTAAATCTGCATTGCTACTAAGTGGTGGAAATAGGATTTGAACCAATGTAGTCTAGCCCCGGAATCTGTGTTCTGTTACATTACATTGAAAACTATTACACTACCCATTATACTAAAAAGCCTATCTGAAATAGAATTTTAAGGCATCATTTGTTGAATTTTGGACTGATTTGAACTATACGGTTAAATGAATTTATTCTTTTATGATGGGATAGTTTTCACTCCATTCCAAAAGGTAAGCGGTTGGAACTATTGACCCACTTAACAGTTAGTTTAAAATGATAAGAAGCCATTGAGAGTTAAGACTTGAAGATTGAGAAAAGATGGGAGACAGTGCTTAAGGTTGTTATTTTTCTAGGAAAAAAAATGACAAGTGAAAAGAGAATATGGCCCCCATCCCTCTGAGGAGTGGCATATCAGAACTCCACACTTTTCCCATCCAACCATTAGACTTCATTTTTTCCTAATGGAAAAAGACAAAGACAGACATAAACAAACAGTGGAAATTTATCCTACCAGAGGTAGTTCTCTGCTTGTCATTTGAAAAGGAGAAAATATTGCCTTTAGTAGAACAAGTGTAGTATCAGGAAATGGTAGAAATAAACCATAATTACTCAAAGCAGAGATAACTAACCAATAGACAAAGAAGCATAGCTTTTACTTTTAAATAGTTCCTTCCCCTTTTTTCTTTCACTTCAGATAATATTGTACTTTGATGAATTAGTGAAATAAACGTAAGAAGTGTTGCCATTATTATATGGCGGTTTGAATCTCTGCTCTTCTCATTTATTGGCAGCTCGCCTTGCCAGTCATAGTAATGCTTGTCCATTAGCCATTTCCCACGGCAGGCTGAATGGAACTAAAGCCATTTTGTTTGTAGCTTTTATTTCTTGAAAAGTTGCCCACCAGATTTCAGATTTAATACTAGCCACCAGGATGTGTGTTTTTAAATAGCCATGACTCCTACCTGATAAACAACTGAAGAATCTTATCTAAAGAAACCTCACTGCCGTCTATTCTAACAAGCAACCACACTTCTGAATCCCATATAACTTTGGGATTTGCTATCTTTAACTTCCATTCCTTCCCTTCAGGGGAAAGGAACAGTTTCACTTAAAAAACGATTTGAACTGACCCCTATTCCTGATCAATTTGCAATGCATTGAGGTATTAAAAGCATGGCTTTTGATTTATAGCCTTAGTTTACTCTGCATCACAAAACCCTAGTGGGATTCAGAGAGAAGCTGACCACAGCTGAAAATACCCAGATCTGGTTCACCTGAAGAGAGCTCCTATTCGTATTGAAAAGAATATGAAATTTCAAGAGTTTAAAAGTAAATGCAAGCAAATAAAAACCATCTATTCCATTTCATTGCCTTGATTAAGAAGTGCCTTGACAAATTATTTTTCTCTTATCTACTCGGTTAGGTGTCAAGTTATACTTTTTATACACATGACCTTAGTTTCTGATGTATCTTTCAGGTTGTGCAGACATATTCTACAAATCATGCAGAAGAGAGAGCTTTAAAATTTAGATACTAGAGAGGAAAAAAATTAGGAAGGTATATTTGTTAGCTTGGACTGCTATAACAAAATACTATAGACAGGGTGGCTTAAACATTGGGTATTTATTTTCTTACAGTTCTGGAGGCTAGAAATCCCAGATCAAGGTTCAGCGATTTTGGTTTCTGGAAAGGGCTCTCTTTTAGGCTTGCAGACAGCTGCCTTCTCACTATGTCTTCACATGTCAGAGAGAGAGAGAGCGTGCACGCTCTGGTCTCTCTTCTTCTTATGAGGATGCCAGTCCTGTTGGATTAGGGCCTCATCTTTATGGTCTCATTTAACCTTAATTACCTCCTGAAGACCCTGTCTCTGAATATAGTCACATTGGGGTTTAGGGCTTCAACAAATGAATTTGGTGGGGAAGTTGGGAACACAATTCAGTCCATAGCAGAAGGTATTTCTTTTTAGGACACTCAAGCAAATATCATGCTATTGCCCCAAAACTAGACTAACATCTGGTGTCAAGGGGGACTTAGACATTTACATTGGTGTCAAGTAGATAGTATTGTATGAAAGTAATATATTTTATAATTTTTAAAAACAGTGCTATAATCTTTAAAATGAAATCTGGATTATCATTTATCTCCTCTGCTATTGTTTTTCTAGTCTATCTTTTACCCTCCATTATATCCAGTCTTAAAGTATACCTGCATATTTTTCCTTTCTCAACTTTAGCTTAAAAGCCCTTTTGAGCAGTGTGGCAGATATCCTACTAATCGTACTCTTCTGGGTTTCAATAATATCCATTCTATTCCTTGTCAAAAATTCATTGTCTCGATATCTAAACTGGTGGTCCAGAAAAATGTGATCTTTTTCTTTGACTTGATGTAGCCAAAGACTTCCTGAATTTGTCTTCTAATTTGTTTCAGCTGGAGAAAGCCGTCTGTTTGCCCTTTCAGTTTTCTCTAACATGGACTCCTAAGAGAATCAGATTTAATATTCAGAACTCAAGAGGTGGTGGTAATGTCCTTCAGTTTACAAGACTGTTACGCGAAGAAAACTTACTCTCCCAACCAACCCAGAAATACTAAAAGTTTATTTACTTGACAGTATCCTAGGTGCTTTGGACTATACAAAATAAATACTCTTTCTGACCCCTAAAGTAGGTTAGGCTCCCTTGCTGTAATTTCTCTTACTACCTTGTACTTTCCCTTTTTAGCACATATCCCAATTACTAATAATTAATGTTTTGTGTAATTATTTGTTTCCTGTTCTTCTGTTTGAGTGAGGACTATAGTTTTATTCACGGTTGTAGCCCTGCATTTTATAGTGTTCTGACTAATATTCTGCTCCTAGTATATATTTGTTGAGTAAATGAATAAAAACGTAGCTCCCAAGACTATGAGAAAACAGACAGACAAATCCAGAATATGGTATAATCAAGTGGAAAAATGACCAGATTTCTTCATTAAATCATTGGCAAAATGGGAGGGGAAGCCTGATTTACAATAAAAGAGGACTAAGAGATATAATAACCAAATGCAGTACATGGATTTTGTTTGGATATTGATTAATAACAAATGTCAGAAGACATTTTTGAGGCAATTGGATATATTTGAATATGAACTAGATATTAGATGATACCAAGGAATTACTGTTAATTCTGTTTAGGTCTTATGGTTACTTAACAAAATGTCCATGTTTTCTTTAGAAATGCATACTAAAATATGAACTGTAGTATATTTTAACAAAAAAAGGGATATATATATATATATATGTGTGTGTGTGTGTGTGAAATGAGGCAAAATCTTGATAATTCTTGAATGTGGGTGATGAGTATATGGAGTTATTCCTATTCTCCGATTAAAACCAACAAAACATAGTCCTTGCTTCCAGGAAGTTCGTAATCTAATGAAGACGAGAAAAAATACATGAAACGATTAAATACTAAATAGTTACTAAGTCAAATAGCAGAGACAGCAATATGAGTTCAGAGAATGGCCAGTTGGTTGGAGTGACGAGAGTCTTTATCTAAGAGGCAGGACTTGAGCCCAGCTTTGAAAGATGGAGATTTCAGTGAAGAGGAAGGCATTCTGAGCAAGAGGAAACAGCTTGAGCGGTTAGGAGTATTAAGAGGTCCCTTCAGCTCTAGTTCCTTGTCTCCAGAGTAGCCACAAGTCATGGCCAAGAAACACGGTGGCTTCCTTCTCAAACTCAGCAGAGCAGAGGTCCTCTGTGTAATTTGCACATCTCTCCATTGTGACCGTCATCATCCCGCTTAAACAGCTGGTTAGCACAATTCCACTACATCTAGTACTCCACTACATTCTGCTCTAAGCAGAAAGGCCTGTTCTCAGTCTCCTATTTAATGGGGAATGCCAAGTGTCACACCTCCACATGATAAGAAACAAGAATAAGAAGCTGAAGGGAGGACTTTAGAATTGCATTTCTCTATTCCTGAACTGTGCCAGGAAGTGTGATATATTTGTCCATGATAGAGAGAGGAGTTCCTTAGTGATTTTTTCGCTCGAAGGGGTATGAAGAATTGATTTGTAAAGCATTTGAGAGTCCCATGCCCTCTCTCTGAGATCTCTCTGTTCAGTTGTGACATTTTTTTTGCTCTAGTCACGCTAGGCAGAGTTTGTGCCATGTTGCCGCCTATTATGAGGCTTTAGCAGAGCAGATGTCCATGCCCTTAGCTTCTAATTACCTTAAAGCTTAGGGTATAAAGCTCCATATACAAAATTCCATAGGTCATTTAAATCAAACCTGGTTATAATTGGATTAATGGCTTTCCTTTCTATAAATATGTGTTTGGGAATGTCATTGTATCTTTAGTGAGATCTGTGGGTTTGATACTATGGTAGTGTTAAGCATCATTTTTACTGCCCAGCAGCCCCAACGCTTATCATTATGGACCAGTCTTCACCCATGCCTCAGCTCCTTCTGGGGGAAGATAAAGGCTCCAGGTACTCTCTAGATGGTGAGCAGTATTTCCTATTATTAGTACATGAA